GGGTGGGTGGGTGAGTGAGTGAGTGGGTGGGTGAGTGGGTGAGTGAGTGGGTGGGTGAGTGAGTGAGTGAGTGGGTGGGTGAGTGAGTGGGTGAGTGAGTGAGTGGGTGAGTGGGTGAGTGAGTGAGTGAGTGAGTGGGTGGGTGAGTGAGTGAGTGGGTGGGTGGGTGAGTGAGTAAGTGAGTGGGTGAGTGAGTGGGTGAGTGAGTGAGTGAGTGGGTGGGTGAGTGGGTGGGTGAGTGGGTGGGTGGGTGGGTGAGTGGGTGAGTGAGTGGTTGAGTGAGTGGGTTGAGTGAGTGAGTGGGTGAGTCATTAAGTGACTGGATGGGTGAATGAGTGAGTGACTGGATGAGTGGGTGGGGGTAGTGGGGGAGGGTTGTGTTGGGGGTAGTGGGGGGGAGTAGTGGGGGGGATGTAGTGGGGGGGGATGTAGTGGGTGTGGGTAGTGGGTGGGGGTAGTGGGGGGAGTAGTGGGAATGGAAGTGGCCGCGTCGAGGTTCTCGTGTGTGCACTCCAAGCGACATGTACAACATGAAACGGGTGGGGGTGGGTTGGTGGTGGGGGGCGGGTTAAGGTGCCTTCTCGGTTATTCGGTGTAAGTTTTGTTCTCCCAACCAAAGCGCTTGTTCCGTGTGGCCACCACGTCTGGTGAAGGTGGTGCTGGTTTGCCTGCGTTTGTGGCTGTGGGGGTTGGGGGGGCTTTCAGGGTGACCGGTTTTCTTTTTTTTATCCAAAAAAGCTTTGTGGGAGCTCTGCACCCGGTGTTTTGTGACCAGGTCAGGCGTGTAAACAACCCAGTAGTAGGACATAAGGTGAACTAGGTAAAAGCGGCTAGAAAATGATTTTCGTTCCCACACCTGGGCACTACTTTTTAAATGATTTTTTTTTATTGACAAAACCATTATCGACTTTATGTTAAAAGTTCTCCGCAAAATACCCTGCAGTTTTTTTTTCAAAATCCATAAATGTATATAATTGTGAATTGGAAAAAACGAAAATCTTATGCTGCTGGTTTTGTTTGTAACTTTATTTATATACATTTTAGCAACACCAAATATCTCTCAAACTGACACTTATACATGTACCTAGACACTTGAGACAGGTTTTGGTGCATTATATACTCAAGTGTGAATGTAGACCATGAAATATGGCACATTTGTAGAAAATATGCTTCAACTTCACGGATTGGCACTAAGCAAAATTAAACATAAACATTTTAAATTTAGCAAAACTGTGATGTTTTGTACATCAAAATTTTCAGTAGGTACCGTGTAATCACAGAAAGATACAAATATAAGCACACTTTGGCCCAAGTTGGCTGAAATGACTCGAAATGCTACACTGTCCCCTTGTTTTGGAATGCTGCCAAAAAAAATTACAATTCTACCACAGATTCTTTACAGCTCAAAATCACCTTAAATTATAACACAGCGCATATTTACTCATCGGTATCATCCCTATTACTATCAGAGCCATCATCCCATGTAGGTCTTCTGTTTCCTGTGAAACATTTGCACAATTTTGGCACTGACACAAATCAGTACAAGACAGTCTTGCAGACATCAGGAACATCTCCCAGTCTCACATTTGCTCTGCTTGCAACTGCAGTGGACTGCCTGCAACACACTTTCAGGGGCAGGGTTTCTAGTCAGCCAGGTCACTGTTCACTCACCATCCTCGGGGTGCCATCCATTGCCGACGGGTGAAGGGGCACACATTGTACCTTGCAGAGAATGTCTCATGATGGCTGCTTGGTAGTTTTCCCTTTTGCAGTGTTGGTACAGGGCGTCACTTGTCGGGGGCACGGATAGTTCTGGCGAAGCTGACGATGCCGTACAGAATGCTTTGTATCTTGCATCGTTCACATTTTCGGCAGATGACTGGCCATACAGGTGGCACTCATGTGCAAAGTAGCTCAGAGGTAGACTGGTCTAGGTTAAAACTGCTACCCAGATTTGTAAAGGCAGTCAGATATTCCTCTTTCTCACAAGCAACAGGAAATGCCTTTCTTTTGCCTTTGCCATAAAAGGCACTTGTAGAGTCACAACCTGAGAAGGTATGGATCCCAATAAGTGCCAAACAGACACTTGTGCTAAGAGCTGACGACACCTTAGCTAAGTCAATGAGCCTTGTTTTGTTGCCAACCCCCGTGAAAAAATACAAGACATTTGTGGTATTCAAATTATCTGTAGTTTGAAGCATCAAGATCTTCATGTTTTTTCACCAGATTTAAAAAGATCCTTCTTAGCTGAGTCATTGTCAACACCTCTTGGTTTACAATTATTCTATGGCGGATGATTATTCTATGGCGGATGATTGTGGTGGTGGTGGTGAGGAGGTGGTGAGGTGCTGGTGAGGGTGAGGTGGTGCTGGTGAGGGTGAGGAGGTGGTGAGGGTGAGGAGGTGGAGGAGGTGAGGGTGGTGAGGTGAGGGTGAGGAGGTGAGGGTGAGGGGGTGTTGGTGGTGAGGGGGTGGTGGTGGTGAGGGGGTGGTGGTGGTGAGGGGGTGGTGGTGAGGTGGTGGTGGTGAGGGTGAGGAGGTGGAGGAGGTGAGGGTGGTGAGGTGAGGGTGGTGAGGTGGGGGTGAGGGGGTGGTGGTGGTGAGGGGGTGGTGGTGGTGAGGGGGTGGTGGTGAGGGGGTGGTGGTGAGGTGGTGGTGGTGAGGGTGAGGAGGTGGAGGAGGTGAGGGTGGTGAGGTGAGGGTGAGGAGGTGGGGGTGAGGGGGTGTTGGTGGTGAGGGGGTGGTGGTGGTGAGGGGGTGGTGGTGAGGTGGTGGTGGTGAGGGTGAGGAGGTGGAGGAGGTGAGGGTGGTGAGGTGAGGGTGGTGAGGTGGGGGTGAGGGGGTGGTGGTGGTGAGGGGGTGGTGGTGGTGAGGGGGTGGTGGTGAGGGGGTGGTGGTGAGGTGGTGGTGGTGAGGGTGAGGAGGTGGAGGAGGTGAGGGTGGTGAGGTGAGGGTGAGGAGGTGGGGGTGAGGGGGTGTTGGTGGTGAGGGGGTGGTGGTGGTGAGGGGGTGGTGGTGGTGAGGGGGTGGTGGTGAGGTGGTGGTGGTGAGGGTGAGGAGGTGGAGGAGGTGAGGGTGGTGAGGTGAGGGTGGTGAGGTGGGGGTGAGGGGGTGTTGGTGGTGAGGGGGTGGTGGTGGTGAGGGGGTGGTGGTGAGGGGGTGGTGGTGAGGTGGGGTGGTGAGGGTGAGGAGGTGGAGGAGGTGAGGGTGAGGAGGTGGGGGTGAGGGGGTGTTGGTGGTGAGGGGGTGTTGGTGGTGAGGGGGTGGTGGTGGTGAGGGGGTGGTGGTGAGGAAGTGAGGGTGAGGAGGTGGGGGTGAGGGTGAGGGGGTGGTGGTGGTGAGGAGGTGAGAGTGAGGAGGTTGGTGGTGGTGAGGGTGAGGAGGAGGTGGTGGTGGTGGTGAGGAGGAGGTGGTGAGTGATGTGGTGAGCGTGTGGTGAGTGATTGTGGTGAGTGATGTGGTGAGTGATGTGGTGAGCGTGTGCAGGTGAGCGTGTGGTGAGTGATGTGGTGAGTGATGTGGTGAGTGATGTGGTGAGCGTGTGGTGAGCGTGTGGTGAGTGATGTGGTGAGCGTGTGGAGGTGAGCGTGTGGTGAGTGATGTGGTGAGTGATGTGGTGAGTGTGTGGTGAGTGATGTGGTGAGTGATGTGGTGAGTGATGTGGTGAGTGATGTGGTGAGCGTGTGGTGAGCGTGTGGTGAGTGATGTGGTGAGTGAGTGTGGTGAGCGTGTGGTGAGTGATGTGGTGAGTGATGTGGTGAGTGATGTGGTGAGTGATGTGGTGAGTGATGTGGTGAGTGGTGTGGTGAGTGATGTGGTGAGCGTGTGGTGAGCTTGTGCAGGTGAGCGCTGTGAGTGAGATTACGAAGAAGATTCGCAGTCTGCAGGAGACGATGGACCAGTTCAGTGACAAGGTGGGAACTTCACCACCATCACCACCATCATCATCACCACCACCACCATCATCATCATCATCACCACCATCATCATCACCACCATCATGACCATCACCATCATCATCACCACCATCATGACCATCACCACCACCATCACCACCATCATGACCATCATCATCACTATCACCATCACCACCACCATCACCACCACCACTACCATCATCACCACCACCACCATCACCACCACCACCATCATCACCATTACCATCATCACCATCACTACCACCATCACCACCACCACTACCATCATCACCATCACCATCACCACCATCATCACCACCACCACCATCATCACCACCACTACCATCACCACCACCACTACCACCACCACCACTACCACCACCACTACCATCACCACCATCATCACCATCACCACCATCATCACCACCATCACCACCATCATCACCACCACCACTACCATCACCACTACCACCACCACCACCACTACCACCACCACCACCACCACCATCATCACCACCACCACTACCATCATCACCACCACCACTACCACCACCACTACCATCACCACTACCACCACCACCACCATCATCACCATCATCACCACCATCACCACCACCACCACCACCATTACCACTGTAGTAAGCTGCAAGAGGCTTGGACGACGGGGTTGGAGGCACACTTATTTATTACACCAACTTGTGTACAGTAACGGGTACACCCAGCACTTGAAGCGGTATCGTCCCCTTCACTCGTCTAACAGGGAGACACAACATCTAACCCCACTAATCTACGCCCGAGTCCTCCACTACGGAGCTAGGGGAGGCTACCTATCCCAGCCCTGGTCAAGCTGGGATCCCGGCACCCTGAGTCTCCAGACCGGCTCTTACAAGAACGTCAGTCTGGGCTCTCGGGGCCACGCCACCGGCTTGCCCTGGTCGGCCCTGACAAGGACAGCGAGCCAGGGGAGCTCCGGGGCCTATTCTAGCTGGTCTTTACTCTTCGCTGGTTAAGCTAATACTCGACCTCGAGCCCTCCGGCTCACCACCTTTTATAGCGCTCGGCCCCCGGGAGGGGCCCGTGGGGGATGCAGGTGCAGACGTTGGTGTGAGCACCTCCTCTGTGTACGGCCCTAACCACGCCCCTTGTGTTTGTTAGCCATCCGTGCCCATACATCTACACAATTACACCTCTACACTATTATAGAGTTTGGATAGCTACTACTACAGCCGGTGGATAAACTATACACTACACTATACACTCCACAGTAGTGCCGTACTGCGTAATGAATTGGCACGGTCTGTTCCTGTTGTTCTAAACCTTACTAAATGGCTGTGTCGGGTGGTGGCGGGTTTAACGACGGCGCAACATTTATATATTTATTATTTATCTATTTGGTTGTCTACGTTCATTGTCGTTGTTTTTCTTTGCATTCCCCCCGCCAGATTCGTCAAGCAAGAAATGGACGATAATGCAGCGCTTGGGAAGCGGCCAGACTCTACGGAGATCCTGCAAGACATCGATGCTGGTGAGCACGGTGGCACCACGGTGGATAGCAGACGTTGACTACCTCGCCTGGTCTACAGGAGGTCGTGGGTTCGATCTTTCTCTCATCATCATCACGGTGGCTATGAGACGTTGACTACCTCGCCTGGTCTACAGGAGGTCGTGGGTTCGATCTCTTTCTCATCATCATCACGGTGGCTATGAGATGTTGACTACCTCGCCTGGTCTACAGGAGGTCGTGGGTTCGATCTCTCTCTCATCATCACGGTGGCTATGAGACGTTGACCACCTCGCCTGGTCTACAGGAGGTCGTGGGTTCGATCTCTCTCTCATCATCATCACGGTGGCTATGAGATGTTGACTACCTCGCCTGGTCTACAGGAGGTCGTGGGTTCGATCTCTCTCTCATCATCATCACAGTGGCTATGAGATGTTGACCACCTCGCCTGGGATACAGGAGGTCGTGGGTTCGATCTCTCTCTCATCATCATCACGGTGGCTATGAGATGTTGACTACCTCGCCTGGTATACAGGACGTCGTGGGTTCGATCTCTCTCTCATCATCATCACGGTGGCTATGAGATGTTGACTACCTCGCCTGGGATACAGGAGGTCGTGGGTTCGATCTCTCATCATCATCACGGTGGCTATGAGATGTTGACTACCTCCGCCTGGTATACAGGAGGTCGTGGGTTCGATCTCTCTCTCATCATCATCACGGTGGCTATGAGATGTTGACTACCTCGCCTGGTATACAGGACGTCGTGGGTTCGATCTCTCTCTCATCATCATCACGGTGGCTATGAGATGTTGACTACCTCACCTGGGATACAGGAGGTCGTGGGTTCGATCTCTCATCATCATCACGGTGGCTATGAGATGTTGACTACCTCGCCTGGTATACAGGACGTCGTGGGTTCGATCTCTCTCTCATCATCACGGTGGCTATGAGACGTTGACTACCTCGCCTGGTATACAGCAGGTCCTGGGTTCGATCCCGACCCTGACGCCTGTTGTACAATGCTCCCACCACACCGTCCTCCCCGCCCGTCCGTACCTTTGCAGCAGACAAGAAGACTGCAAGCGCCGCCGGCGACAAGCGGCACGCGTGCGGGCAGTGCGGCGAGCGCTTTCCCCACTTCGAGACGCACACGGGCGAGAAGCAGTACGTGTGCGCCGTGTGCGGACAAGGGCTTTGCGCACGACTTCAACTTGAACCTGCGAGTGAGGTCGCACACAGACGAGAGGCCGTACGTTTGCGAGGAGTACGGGAAGGGCTCCGCCAGGCCTGCAACTTGAACCTGCGAGTGAGGTCGCACACGGACGAGAGGCCGTACGTTTGCGAGGAGTACGGGAAGGGCCTCCGCGCAGGCCTGCAACTTGAACCTGCGAGTGAGGTCGCACACGGACGAGAGGCCGTACGTTTGCGAGGAGTACGGGAAGGGCTCCGCGCAGGGCCTGCAACTTGAACCTGCGAGTGAGGTCGCACACGGACGAGAGGCCGTACGTTTGCGAGGAGTACGGGAAGGGCTCCGCGCAGGCCTGCAACTTGAACCTGCGAGTGAGGTCGCACACGGACGAGAGGCCGTACGTTTGCGAGGAGTACGGGAAGGGCTCCGCGCAGGCCTGCAACTTGAACCTGCGAGTGAGGTCGCACACGGACGAGAGGCCGTACGTTTGCGAGGAGTACGGGAAGGGCTCCGCGCAGGCCTGCAACTTGAACCTGCGAGTGAGGTCGCACACGGACGAGAGGCCGTACGTTTGCGAGGATTGCGGGAAGAGTTTTCCCGGCTGCTCCGACATGAAGAGGCACGCCAGGACGCACCGCGGGCGAGAGAACGTACGTGTGCGACGAGTGCGGGCAGGGGTTCACGCAGGTGGACAGCTTGCACGTGCACGCAAGGAAGCACACGGGGGAGAGGCCGTACGTGTGCGCAGTGTGCGGCAAGGGGTTTGCTTTGCGTCGCCACCTTCAGCGGCATTCGGTGACTCACGGGGAGGGAGTCTAGCTAGGGAGGGGGTCTAACCGAACGCCGTTTGGTGGTGCACACTGGGAGGCACGCACGCGGCCGTGAGTGGCTGTGAGCTCGGGGGGCGTCGGGAATTATTTCAAGAAACAAATCTACACTACTATACACTACACTACTATACACTATACACTGCACTACTATACACTACACTACTATACACTACACTACTATACACTACACTACTATACACTACACTACTATACACTACACTACTATACACCACTACTATACACTATACTATACACTACACCACTATACACTACACTACTATACACTACACCACTATACACTACACTACAATACACTACTATACACTACACTACTATACACTACACTACTATACACTACACTATACACTACTATACACTACACTACTATACTCTACACTACTATACACTACACTACTATACACTACACTATTATACACTACACTATACACTACACTACTATACACTACACTACTATACACTACACTACACCACTATACCTACACTACTATACCTACCTACCACTATACACTACCACTATACACGACACTACTATACACTACACTACACTACACTACTATACACTACTACACTACTATACACTACTACACTACTATACACTACACTACTATACACTACTATACACTATACACTACTATACACTACACTATACACTATACACTACTATACACTACACTATACACTACACTACTATACACTACACTACTATAACTATACACTATAATGACGATGGTAAATAAAGTGCTATGACTTGCGCAGAGAACTTGGATTGAAGTGAGGGTGATTTGCGCAGCGTCAACCTCACTCTCTCGACCAGCCGCATCTGTACCCAGTGGCGAGACGTAGTCAAGACGACTGGAGATGGTCCTGGTTGCAGTGGAACTGTGGAAGGTCCAAAGACCCGTTTTGGTGGAATTTCCTCCACCAGGGGTTCCACACGCCCAGGCTCAGACTAGCCGAGTTTGCCGGGTTAGTTATCCGCCGCCCGGGGTTCGGCGTTGGCAGCTGCTGACTGTAGCGACTCACCAGGGATGTTGAGCTGGTGTGCGCCTACGGTAGCAGCTAGAGGGCCGGGCCAGATGGAACAAGCCAGAGGCACAACTAGCTGGTCAGACACAAATTAACACAGTACACACACACAGTACACCACACAGTACACACACACAGAGTACACACACACAGTACACACACACTACACACACACTACACACACACTACACACACACAGAGTACACACACACAGTACACACACCTACACACACACTACACACACACAGTACACACACACAGTACACACACACACAGTACACACACAGTGTACACACAGAGTACACACACAGAGTACACACACAGTACACACACACTACACACACAGTACACACACTACACACACTAGCAATCTAAAGCAACGCAGTAAATTCAAAGAAGCAATGTTCTAAAGCCAACAGCCGGTCAACTTTAATCTTCGCCAGACACTTCACCACGGCCAATGCGCCAATATAAATTCCGCAACATTTAATGCTGCCTTGTGAAATACAAACACAACTCAATTAAATTGTCATGTCCATGCTCATTTCAGATTAAGACCGGTCGCACAAAAGCACCCATTTCAGGAAACAATTTAAAGTCCGACTTAACAGACATGTTTTGCCTTCATCCATTAGACTAAAGTAAAAACTTTCTTTAAAATTATAAACGTCTAAAGTGTTCAACCAAACGCGGTGTGTACCTTGTGTACACACCATAAACATTGCAAGAATCGCGTATCAATTAACAAAACCCACATGCAGACTTTTTGGTTCTTCCGGTAAAGTCACGTAGAAGGGAAATAATAAAACATAATAAAATACAATTCTCACGACGTTTCGGCCACAACGCAAGCAGCCGTCCTCAGGTGAAGAACAGGTCTGTCGGAAAGACAGCGTCTGAATGAAACACCACCAGGTTTGGCAGCGTATATTGCTGTGTATATTGCTGCCAAGCTTGGTGGTGTTCATTCAGACGCTGTCTTTCTGACAGACCTGTTCTTCACCTGAGGACGGCTGCTTGCGTTGTGGTGAAGAACAGGTCTGTCGAAAGACAGACGCTGTCTTTCCGACAGACCTGTTCTTCACCTGAGGACGGCTGCTTGCGTTGTGGTGAAGAACAGGTCTGTCGGAAAGACAGACGCTGTCTTTCCGACAGACCTGTTCTTCACCTGAGGACGGCTGCTTGCGTTGTGGTGAAGAACAGGTCTGTCGGAAAGACAGACGCTGTCTTTCCGACAGAACCTGTTCTTCACCTGAGGACGGCTGCTTGCGTTGTGGTGAAGAACAGGTCTGTCGGAAAGACAGACGCTGTCTTTCCGACAGACCTGTTCTTCACCTGAGGACGGCTGCTTGCGTTGTGGCCGAAACGTGGTGAGAATTGTATTTTATTATGTTTTTATTATTTATTATTTTCCTTCTACGTGACTTACCGAAAGAACCAAGAAGATGAATCCCTGCAGTCACGAAAGAATCTTTAAATCGAAACCCACATGCAGTCCTTAACGTAACGTTTCTTCAGACCCAACAACATTTTTTTTTTAAATCAAACAAACCCCCGATATGTGTACGCTCTGGGTGTGAGCTGTGTTCTCTGCAACCTGCAACAACAACAACAACAGCAGCAGTGAGCGGCATTGGCGACGTCAAGAAGCAACACGACAGATCGTGGTCAAACCCCGCAAAGGGCTGGATTGTCACTTGGAGAATTGCCGATTGTGGCCGACATTTCTCCGTGTCATCCAATCTCTAACGTGGGGCACGAGAGCGTTGACAAGCGACTGCCGTTTGAAACAAACTCCTCCACATCTTTATCTCACCGGGTGAGACCCACGCAGCTGTGCGAGCGCTCTTTGATTTAGAAGTTGTTCACGATATAATACGCAAATTATATCACACTGGTCAACAAAACAAAACAACAACATGTAGTTCTGGCCTGGACTTTTGCAGCTGTTCTGGACTAAATTCAGGGTGCCGATTTCAAATCTGATCTCAGATTTGCTCCGTCCGTCGCATCTCATTTTTATGCTATCGGCATACCCCGTCAA